CCCAAAACCAGTTAGAGATAATCCTTGATGGAAGAGGATTATCTCTGAGCCACTCAGAGGGCCCTTAACACGTTTTCCTGCTTGACGTGCCCATGACATGTATTAAGTTAATGTGCAACAGCACCCTTAGGATTCTCACTTCTGTCTAAATCCTATTTAGACTCCTAGTTTTCCAGTTTGGACCTAGCCCTTAATCTCTTTTTATCTCAGATTACTATTTATAAATAGGGCATAATAATACCTAAATCACTTGTAGTATTGTCAGATTTAATCCATTTATGCATTTAAATCATTTTTAAACCTAATGAATAAAAAGTAGTATATACTTTATTAGGTTTATTATTTGTCTGTCTAAAATTACTGTGTAAAGCAATGAACCAGGTAGGAAGATGAGCTGATTTGTGTAGGAGAAAACTGCTATTCAAATACAAAGTATTGAACTAAAGAAAGTGAACAGCATAAATTACTAGCAAAACAAAATCTTTAGTATAATTGTTCTCTTCAAAGTTACTGCTGAGTTGTTCTCATGCTAAGGTTCACTTTTAACTAGTAGAAGAGTTCTGAGATTTTATTCTTTCTTAGTGTTCCACAAGCATCCCAGGACACATAAATCATAAGTGATTTGTAAGATAATTATCAAAATACTTTGAAAGAATTTTTTTCAGTGGCTGTATACAAAATACACTGCTGAAGCTTTACTCATGATGGGGTAAACCAGTCATGAATACAGAGTCCAAGTTTCTTATCTGGGATCTGGTTATTTGAGAAGTTTAAAGTCAAAGGAGACTTTTGTCTTAACTTACAAAATGGTGATGTTAGGACAAATCTGGACTAATGTGTTCTCCACATGCTTATAAACTGTTAGCCCCCTAAGCTATAAACTGAGCACAGGTACACGTGCCATTAAGGTGACCTGATAAACTGTGGAACACTTTGTGCTGGAGTCTGCTCCTCCTAGCGTAGCATCTACATGTACACCCAGGATCAAAGCAGTTTGAGTCAGGGTGGAGCAGCCCTGGGCTGACAGGGAGTATGGAGGACCAGCCCTGGGCTCTGGGTGGTGTTGTTGGGCAATGGAGGGACTGACTGGGGCACGAGATTGCTAAAGTATATGGCTGGCAGCAAGCAACCCCCACACTTTAGCAACTTCATGCCCCAGCCAGCCCCTGTTACCATCTACATGTGCATTTTGTAGGAGTTAAGTACTTCGCCATAAGATAGTACTATCCCCTTTAACTCTGCAGTAAAGCACACGTGTAGATGCACCATCTGTTATCCTCATACCAAGGCCTTAGTACACTATATAGGAAATAAACACTGCACAGACGCTTAAATTCTGCAGAGCAAAAATTGGCTCCAGTACTAGGGGGAACACACTGGATTTAACAAGCTTAGTTCATATTTAATTGCATGTGTAGGTATTATAATATATATATGGAAGTACACCTGAGTTATACATTCTTTGAATTGCCTTATGGAGTCGCTGCACCATATTTAAGGCTGTTTGGGACTTTTAATTTTAAGCAAATGTTTAAGGATGTTAAAAATATCTCACTTGGCATGATAGTACAAAAAAAATAAAAATAATAATGTAACCTGGGTGACGTAGCTATCTGTCAGCTGCAGCGAATTATGGGTCCCTAGGGTCTCTGCTTTGGAGCCCCACTTCCTAAAGTGCGGGGAGTCTCCCTACAGAAGGATACCTGGAGCCTCAAAACCTTTGATCAGACAATACTCAGTACTTACTTGTATACAATTTATTTACATAGGGAGAAAAAGGGGTGGTAGAAAAGACCAACTTTCAAAATGTTTTGACCAACCTCGTTTTGTTTCAAGGATATTTCAACAGCCTTTGTTTCACTCCAGTTTTGCTGTTTTGACCACAAAATTGGTCAAAATAGTCTCGGAACAAAATGGCCGGTGAAATTTTGCACAGCCCTAATGTGTAAGCCCCTTCAGGGTCTTATACTCTACAGTGTAGCAGTCATAGATCCTCCCTGGATCAGTCTCATACCAGTCACAATTCTGCAAGGTCAGTGGAGCCAAACTCCTTCAGCCAGAACCTGACTCCTCCCCCTCATCAGGGTCTCTGGCAAGCACTGTGCTGCTTACTACCAGGGCTCCTGTACCTTGGGGAGGGGTTTTATGTTCCGTTCTATAGCTCAGTGAAAACCCATGGTTTTGTGATCCCCACCTACAATATCTTTCTCTAGCACTCAAAATTCAATGAGGCACTCTCCCCTGCATGGGACAGGTGACCCTCCTCACCTCCTCCCTCATGGGCAGGCTGCGAGCACCTGGGGAAGGCTCCTCTGGGACTACAGTTCCCTCCCCTATAACAAACAAAGGATATGCTGGCAGCCCCATCCAGACTTGACAGGTGTCATCTTGCTCTGTCTCCCGAAACCTGCTGGCTCTCGGAGCAATGCCTCAGTCTCTGCCATCCCACTCTCACTCCAGCCTCATCCCACTGATTTCAGGCTCTTTTGGGGCTCGTTTAACCACCCCACTGGATCAGCTTCCTCAATATCTTTGATAACCACATGCTTTACCTCCCACTGGCTGCAGCACATGCCTTCTTTTATCCTCTCAGGAGGCCATACCCCTAGATAGCAGCTCATTCAATCAGGAATTTGGAATGAATTCTCCAGTCACCTTTAGCCACATCCATGGATCATGGCTAGTCCAATCAGAAGTTTGGGTTGAATGGTACAATCATACCAAACTTTCCTTGTTGCAACAGGTGAAAGCATAAGCCCAACCGGAGAGAGACCAGGATGTAAGACATCCTGATCTAACTCTGTTGAAATAAATGTAGACTTTTTGAATAATTACAATAATATTCTGGGGAGTTTTCACTTTTCCACCAGCCTGGAATCTTTCTCATCTTCTGTACCCTCCTACAGTGGCTCAACCTCCACCAACTAGTGTTACAGAGAGGGCAAGTTGAATGAGAAGAATGCAGGCAAAATCACTAGTCAGGCAACACTGTTTGCTTCTTCATCTTGTAAACTTAATTTGATTTTTAATGTTCCTTGCATTGTATGAAGTCTTTCAGATTGGGACATTCTCTTCTGGGAATGTTATGTTCAAGAGGGCTTCACAGGCAGTTAGGGGAAGGAACTGACTGAATAATATCTAGGGAAGTAGGCAGAGCAGAAAGCCTGGACAAATAAGGAGACAAGATACACCTAGGAAAGGATGTGAGATCTCCCTTTTTGATAGGCCTGCTTCCAGAATACCAAACCTAACTTCCCATTCCAAGCCTCAACCTCTGGCCCTCCTACAGGTTGCATTTTCATAGGAAAATGCTTTCTTATTTTACATTAATATCTACATTGATTTTAATTTATTTTTACTGAATTTAAAATCACCCATAATGAAACATTTCCAGTTTCTATCTTGGGAAGATTTTGACTTCTAACCTCAGTGTCAGAGAGATAGTAATAACACATTGTGCATTTTTCCGGTATACAGTGTATAAAGTTTAAAGTTAAAGTAGAATAATTTTGTGAAAGTTTGAGGAACATGTGTGTGTGTGTGTATACTGAATTTCGTGTATACACTGGAAATTAAAGAGCAAATTTAGAGGAGGGGCAAGGAGCTTGAGTGCATTTGGAATTTGTGGTGTTTGGATACTAAGGTTTTGAGGTGCATGTTGATATTAGTATTACTGTTGTTGTTGATTTCCTTTATTTTTAATAACTGTCTAGACACCCACACAACAAACAGTTCTAGGGTCAGCTCAAGTGACAATAGTTATTAAAAATAAAAGGCTTGTCTTAGCAATTTTCATGCAGCACTTAATACAAACCAATGGCTAGAAAATGATATTTAGAGGTTTACTTTTGGGAATTGGCTTGTAGGTAAAGTAGATATTGCATTAGAACAATGGCCCAGGGGAATGGTAAGGGTTAATTTATTTCTAAAAGCCTGTTTGTGCCAAAGTTTCACAGTCTCAGCCTTCAAGGCCCACTGTGTCTGGTGCGGGCATAAACAGGCTGGGAAACATGAACACTGTTCCATAACATGAGATGTGGGACTCTGTCACATTGACTAAGTCACAGTGACCAGCTACAGAGCCCTTGGGATTTCTGGTTTTGGTGGACAAATGAAATAAAGACACCAATAAATGACCAAATTAAGGTGTGTGCATGTGATGGCTTTGTTGAAACAAAGGAATATATGACAGAACAGAATGTGGATAATATGACGACCACAGGGAAACCAATCAATGCTGCCTGGAGATGAGAATCATCAGAGGAGAGAAAGGATACAAAAGGAGGGATTTCAGAGCAGCAAAGGGTTCCTGACAGGGGAACCCAAGGCCACCATGGACAGAGGACACACCACCAGCCTATCTAACCCACCCCACTTGGGGCGGGGGAGGCCTTGGCTCTCAGCCTCCAGGCTGCTGACTGCTGATATTCAAGAAAGAACCACATGGTGAAGCTCACATACTGGCAATCGCAAACCAATGTCATGATGCTGTATATATGCTGCATACTTAATGCCTGTTGTCAAGGACTAACTAATGTTTTCCTTTATAATGACCATTGTTTTAATCCCTTTTGAAAACAAACCTCACTAAATATGAGTCACTAAATGGCTATACTGCATTTGTTATTTACACTGTGCATGTTTAGGTGGCAGTAATTGATATTTGTTTAACTTAATTCCTTTGTCACGTGACTGCTGTTATATCTATGCTCTTTTCTTATGTTTCAACTACTTTTTTCTGCCATTTCTTCAATGTACTTATGGTATCTTTTAACAGTTATGTCCTATCAATTTTATAATGTTAATTCTAATTGTTCTAGTTTAAAGTCAAGAAGCTTGTTTCTGGCATTCTCTGTTTTCCATGGACATATTAAGTTCCTGCATATATTGTTTGCATTTGTTAAGCAACCACCTGATTTAGGGTATATTTTATAAACACTTTAGATTGTGAAACAGTGATAGTAATCTTTTACAGACTTTGCTTTTATTTTTTCTTACAGTATAAACAAGTGGAGCAGTACATGTCATTCCACAAATTACCTGCTGACATGCGCCAGAAGATCCATGATTACTATGAGCACCGTTACCAAGGCAAAATCTTTGATGAGGAAAATATTCTTAGTGAGCTCAATGATCCCCTTCGAGAGGTAAGACAAAACAAAAAGTCCCATGTGCTTTGGTTGGGTTTTCTTCCATTGGTTTCAGTAAAAATACTAATTCTGTTTATAATTGCATTATAATCTCTCATACTTGCTGCCAAGATATCACATCATCTATAAACAGCAATCCATTAACAGTGTCAGATACCCTATATTAGGTTGCTGCATAGACTGTGAAAGTAAAAATTAGCATACTTGAAGTGGCCATTGATCTAATCCATTCTAGCCTAGACTGTCAGAGCCATTATTTGGCCATGGAAGTACATAAGGGTATATGAGAGACTGCTCTATGCACCTAGTCAATGGAGTAAGGGCTGAAAGCCTTTTCATATTTCAGCTACAAACATAATGGAGAGATAAATCTGATAAATCTCTCCTCATGAATGCTAATTGAAAGAAGATGGAATTGAGTGGGTATGGGAGATGCCTTGGTGGCTAGAATAACTAACTCCCTACTTGTGGGCTAGAATAACTGCTCAGGATAAGTGAACTCCTCCAAACAGGAGTGAAAGGGCGGAGTAAGTTGCTTCATCTCTCTTTGTGCAGCAGTTTCTGGAGCTAAGCAGGTCTCCTTTGGGACAAAAAAGCAGAGCCCACTATTATTGCAAAAAGGCATAGTTCTTTTTGAGTGCATCTACGCAGGACATTTACTGTGGAGTATACTAGTTATCTGTGCAGTAAATGTTGTGTGTATACATGTGTGCCCCATTAGGCTGAAGTAAACTAATTTACACCACAGCAGGATAGTAAAAAACTCCACAGTAGTGCACGTATAGATGCTGCCTCTGCTGGCTGGGGCATGAGGGTGCTTCAGTGAGGGGGTAGCACGCTGGCTAGCCCTGCACTGGAGCACCCTTGTGCCCTAACCAGCCCTTACTTAGCATGTTGAGTCCGTGGGGGAGCAGCCCTAGGCTGGCAAGCTGACTCCCCCAGGCCACCTGCCAGCCGGGGCTACATCGACTCAGCTCAACATGCTGCAATCCCAGGCATTTGTATAAATGCATGCTTGGGAGCAAAAAACTCCAGTGCGATAATCACCAGAGTTCATTGCAGCACATTACTATGCATGTGTAGACATGCCCTTTTTAGAGAAAAAGCACATACTCCCATTTTTATTTGGGGGGGGGGGGTAAATTTTGTATTGAATACCAAAGATTGGGTGTTGAATGAGTGGACAAAAAGGTTCCACAAGCAATACCTGCACCCTGTATTTTACAGTAACAAGATTTGTGTATCTTTACTGGATAATTTATGCCAGACCTATCAACATGTGCATGTGAAATTGAAACACTTTCTAGTACGGTGATTCTCAACCAGCATGCCATGGCAGCTGCGGGTAACATGCAGTCCTTATAAGGGTGCTGTATAGTGTCATGCAATATTAACACTGTTAGGTATGCAAGCACCTACACCTGATTCACAAGATAAACCCAGAGATTTCAAATAGGATTCCATAGCATTAAAAGCATTCTGATGGGTTGTGGTTGGAGTTCTTTGCAACTGAAGAATTGCTGTACTATTTTTCTGTGGTCAAGAAATAATTAAAGCTGAGAGTTAGCATTTTCTGAGGAGTGCCTTGAGTCTAAAAAGGTTGAGAACAACTGTGCTAGTACTGCTCTCTACATGAGACAATTTACAAGGACTTAGAAGGAATAGGAGGAAAAATGAAAAAGGGAAGGTTAAGAGAAAAAGAGAAGGAGAAAGTAGAAGAGGAATAGGGGAAAGGAGAAAAGAAGAGAATAGAAGAAACATGGAAAGAAAGAGAGAGTTATCTGTCATGTGGTGATCCCATCAACCTGTGGGACAGCACTTTTAAAACTCCTGCCATGACAGGTAGCACGATGAATACAACAGTTCATAACTCACTGGAGGAAACAACATGACAGCTGTACAATTTAGAGCTATGTGTCAGGACATGTGTTCAGTAACAGTTGCACAGTACTAAAAGGATTGGACTGGATGGGACCTCCTTGGTTGCCGAGTCCACTCACCTGCTGTTTCAGGCAACCACATATTATAATCCTTTCATAAACTGATCCACCATCCTGCCACTGTAGCATTGTCACTTGCCACAGTTTTTTAAAAAAAGATTTACAATCTGTTTAACAAAGGGATTCCTATTTCTATTTTTCCCCATAAAAGAAAATGAGTTATTCAGATCTAGCTTATATAGGGAAGATCCTATGTTTTATGTACTTCCAGTGTTCATATAAAACTACCAGTAACTTTCCTAGAAATTCCAATCTTTTGCCACAGGGAGAATATATTATCCTGGTTTGCCAGTTGTAGACACAGCAACTTGTAAGTAATGTATGGTGCATTCTGATATAAATAACTTCTGGGTCCCTGAAATTCAGGTTTGCTTCAAGTCAAACACTGTTTTCTGTATTCGTTATGAAATCCTCTACAATTTCCCAAAATCACTCACAAGAGGCTGCAAGACATTCCTTCCACTCAAAGTCATAGAAATGTCAAGTACCGGCAAGATGCATGAATAGCATTGTTTTCACCCTGTAACATCATTATTTATTTATATCAGAACATAAATTCTCACATTCTCATTAACATCCCCTGTTCACTAAAGCAATATGTAGTTGAATTCCTTAAGCACTCAGTGCTTTTTCCCCTAAGTGACTTATCTTCTTCTATTGTTTGGGATTATTTTGTAATTGCATATGTCCAATGAAATGAAAACCAGATTTCATCTGGATTATTTTCATTCGGAAATAATATAGGCATTTTTCCTCAGTGAAAGATATTTCCCTACCAAGATTTTGCAGTTACAGAGTGGTAATATTTTCCCCCAAGAGTATATTTATATTGTATCAAGTATGTCTCTTATACTCTTCAGTTACTGAAAGAACACAGAAACAAGCTTAAAAAGCAGAATCAGTTATGGGTAAATTTTTATAGAAAAATTCAAAAGGTGAAAGTTATGGACAACTGAAACTATAGGAAAACAATGAAATATAACTGTGTAAGTTGCTGGTATGGCTACATTTATAATCATGCTGTACTTTGTGATATTTTTTGTTCTCCATATTGCATATGGATGAGTTATTTCAGCAGAATGCCTCTATCAAAAGTTACATTCATTTTTGGGATTGTACAATGTCCTAATGACAATGCAGCAGCTGTTCCTGGAAAAAAGCCAATATAAAATTTAAAAAATGTGGAGAACCAGAGAAGCAGAGATGTGGTGATAGAAGCAGGTTTCTCATATCCCACACCCACAACAGAATTTTAGCAGTAGCCCTCTCAAAATGCCTTAAAACACCGGACAGTTTCTATGACAGTTTTTCAGAGGTTATATTAACATTATTGCAGGCAGTTTTGTACTCAAGCTATTAGTTTTTAGTGTGTCTGTTCAATGACGAATTGGTTCCTCAGTTATTAAACCTAAGAGCTCTTCTAGCTGTTTAAGAAAATGCCTTAGTATGTCTACCAATGAGTTTAACAAATAAATGATAGCATGCATATTCTATTTAAACATTCAAAACTAAATATTTATATAATTTATGAAGTTTTTATTGAATTTGGCATTTCTGTGACATCCCTTGAATTTAAATGTAGCGTAAGAATTAAATGTTCAGAATTTTAAGAGTACATGTATCAAGATTAATGTAGATTCTGATAAAGACATTAAGCTAAAACCATGAATTCCTCGTGTATAGTAAGCAGAACAAAAGAGCACACCAAATATAGCATAATTACAGAAGGAATATCAGCAATATTATTAATTTAGATAACAGGTCTACTGTGAATGTTTGGCATACAGTTTTAAAAGGCTCAGTCAAGTGAAAATCAACCTCTCCACTGTAAAAATAAAGGCATTTCTCCTTAGCACATACACTCAGATATCATGGTGATGTATAACGATATACATTATAACTAATAATATATGTCAGAGTTGTATAATGGTATCATTTTTCTTTATCTTTCTTTTGCTTAAACTTTTACCTTTTGGTTGATTTCTCTGCAAAAAAAAAAAAAAAAAGATTTAATTTTGGAGTATTAGGAAAGTGGGAAAAGAAATGTTTGTTATAAATTTTTGCAATGGCTTAAATCATTTTTGCTGCTAAAATGTTTAAGGACCAGAGGTGGGAATTGGTACTGATTTCTGTTTGGTATTGAATTCAGGTTCTTTAACAGACTCATCACCATGATACCTGAGTATGCCAAATATTCACAGTAGACCTGTTTTCTAAACTAATAATACATGCCATTAAGAAAGGAATCATTACACTCACGTGAGCAGCTGACTTACCTGAAAAATGAAGCAATAAGTATTGCTGTGAATTGATAGGAAAAGGAGTTCTGAGCAGATGTCCAATGATATAACCCCCTTTGATGCACCTTAGGGTTTAGGAAGTTCACAAATTCTGTAGGTAGTACATGATCACCTAATTAACACATACAGAATGGATACAGTATATTACAAAGGGGATGTAGGGACCATATTTGTAGGGACTGTATTTGACTAAATTGGTCTCATGATGATGTGATTAATGGAGCACCACCAGACCTGTGTTTTCAAAATGACTCCATCACATGAAGGAGACTTCACCATATGTGCCTTGCTATTTCTCTGTAGCACTGCTTTAAAGTAATGCTATGGCTTGTACAAAAGAAAGTTAGAATGAGAAAGTTTTTTGATTGGATTTGAGTTTTTTAGACTTTAGAAGCTTCAGTCCCATCAGGGAATGTGCATATCCTTTTTTTTTGACAAGCCCACTTCTCTGGTGATTGCCCTCCTAGTGACATTGAGATTCAAATAGCCAAGAGATTTTTGGCAGCTGCTTGTTGTGCACAGATGGGATAATTTAAAAGTGCTCAGCTGGGTTACTCAAATGACTCCCCTTTTTCTTCCTCCTTACTCTCTTTAGTTCAGCAGTTATCACCTTTTTCTGCATGGTATCTGATTCTTGCATAGACAAAAATAATGAAGCTTTTTTCCCAAGATTTTAAGCTCCTTGGGGCAGAAATTT